TTGTTGGTCTAGTATTTGCGGCATAGGCACTTGGGAGTAGAAAAGAGGGTAAAGGGGATCCCTACCCCAACTATCCTTACTTTATAGGATTTGAACTCTAAATCGCTATGATTTGAGATGAGAAGTGAGCCAAAACTTTGCTGATAATTTATATTTAGACAAAAGACTTTAATTTAAGATAAAATGGGATTTTTACTCAAGGATGGCAGGAAGAAGTATAATTTTCACAATGTGATCTTTTTTTTTTTCAATTATACTTACAATTTGTTTAAATTTGGTTCATTTGTTGACCAAACAGAAGTCATGATCCGAGCTCAAAATTTGACCGATTCCCCTAATGTTTCGATTCTATAACATCCTTGTGACTAGAGAGGCTATAGAGTTTAAAGGCTATTAACAAGTAACAAAGACAATGAAGATATGTTTTGATACAATTATTGTCTTAAAAAGTAGGTACAACCCTTTTGGGGGTGTTTATTCACATAAGCCAACTTAATTCCCATGGATAGCACAACTATCATCACAAGTTAAGTTATGGATGGAACTTTGTAGAAACTTGTGTACATAACATAAAACTAAATTTAATAAAGAAGGAAGATGAACTTCATGATTTTTCAAGACAGCTAGATATCATATTAACAATCACTTGTATATTATACCATAATCAATGAGATAAATGATGATCACTAAACCATAAGTCAAAATTTTGAGATTCATTAGTATCTTTTAAATGAGACGCATCTTAATTAATACTTTTTCTTATATCTATAACTTTATAATCGCGTAAAAAACTTTATATCAAGCTCTATTGCTGTAAAGATCTTGATTAGTGCGTAAACCTTCAAGGTATCGATACAAGTCATTGAAGTACGCTTCAACATGTTGGAACTTCAAGTCTCCAACTTCAAGATCCTGATCTACTGAACATCTAAAAGCCATCATGAAATTCATGATTAATGAATTTAGTTCTGGATTGCTAGCTTAATGTAGCCCAATTCACGTCCAGCCCAAATTAATGACATCTTCTTACAGTCCAGATTTACAGTAAAGGCCCAACAAAAGCCCAACAAATTATTAGTTTGTTGGGACATCTCAATCGCAAGTTGCTATTAAATTCCCTCCATACAAGTTTTCAATCGGGAGTTGGTATTAATATCCCTCCATACTTTAGTTTTCAATTCTTTCACAATCATATCCATATCGTAATGCGTAATCCTGATCATAAGCTATTAAACTAATCAAAAATTCCATTTTCAGTTTCATAATTGTTGAAGAATTACACGCTTTGATTTTAACATGTGTACAACAATTCAAATTATATTTAACAACAATAACAAACCCCTATCTTTAAAGGAATATAAATAATTATGTGTGATATCTATAAATTTAACTAAAATAGCAACCGCTGACATTATATAGTCCACATGGCAGCTTTACAATAAAAAAGTTCCCGCCTAAATGAAATATGATGTCATTATGTTTAAAAATTAAATTTCACCTCCTTTCAGTTAATCTACACTCTTTAATTTATTTAATTTTCTTTTTCACCAACTATTTGTATCCAATGCATACTCTATGTTTCTTATATGAGTAATTAATTAATATGAGTACATACAATATAAACTCCATGTTTCAAAGAAATTTCTAAAATCATGCATTGCACAAGAGTAATCTAGTTTACAATATAGTGATATACCAAGACTACCAACTTTTAATACTCGTCATTAACTAAAATTTAAAGATATTATTGATTAATTAAAATAAGATACTTCCTCCCTTTTTTTTTTGTCTTATTTGAAATCTTGAGAAATGAAATTTATGTAATCTGTAATTAAATGGATTTAATTGGATTTTGGAGTTTGTGGTCCCAAATAGAGTATAGATTTTTTTTTTATTAGTGGTCTCATTCTATATGTATTAATGTGCATGTCAAATATTTTAAGACGGACAAATATAAGAGCAAGTTTAGCCCCAAGTCTTAAGACTTGGATATGACATCATTTTTTGTGGTCCCCATTGAAAATGATGTCATCGAATTCTTATTAGGATTCACTAAGATTTACACAAATTTATCACTTTAGCTCTAAGACTTAAATATTTGACATATTATATGTAGAAAAGTGTAAAAATAAAAAAAAAAGGATAATAAAAATAAAAGTGAGGTGGGTGAAGTGGGTCCCATCTCAAGTCTTAAGTTGAGTCTTGAAATTTCAAGACTCAACTTGAGACTTGCTTGAGATTTTTGAAGAAAAATCGGAAAAGTCTTAAGTATAAATCTTAAGACTCAAAATGATGATGTCACCCAGTCTTAAGACTTGGGGCTAAACTTGCTCTAATAACTATGTCAAGTATTATGGGACGGAAAGAGTATTAACGGAGAATATATGCACACTTTGGGAAGCAAATCAAGCTAATTAATCTAGACATGTAACTTGAATTTACGTCTAAAATTTTGAATATTAGGTGAGCTACCATTTAATTTAATGAGTCGACACATTTTAATTTGTTCAACCTCCCCCTACCCAACTAAATATCTCACCTTGATGCAATATTAGTAGAAATACCCCTCTTCCATCCCACTTCTCTTTCACACATCATCTTTCTTCCATATTATCCCTCAAAAACAAACACATACATACATACCCAAAAATGGCAAGCACAACCCTACAAGTGAAAGACGAGCGAGCCGGGGCCGAGATCGTGTACGGGGCAGAAGAGTGCCAAAAGCAATCCCATGAGCTCCTACAAGAAATGGGATTCCCTAAGGGTGTAATGCCCTTAAAGGATCTTGTAGAGTGTGGAAGAGTACGCGAAACCGGGTTCGTGTGGATGAAGCAAAAGGCTCCCTCCGAACATTACTTCGAAGAGAGCAAGACACTAACTAGCTACGCTACGGAAGTAACGTCGTATGTAGAGAAAGGAAAGATGAAGAAGATGACAGGGGTTAAGAGTAAGCAATTGTTAATGTGGATTACCATTACTGAGATGAGTGTAGATGATCCTTGTTCCGGTAAGATTCACTTCAAGACTGCTGTTGGTATTGGCAAGTCTTTTCCTATTACTGCTTTTATGGATCCTGAAGAGAAGGTTAAGTATTTAGAGAATAAGAAATCTGATCAAAACAAGAAGTGATTGATAATTTCTCTATTTGTTTTGATAAAATTCGACTATATATATGTTTGAATTCTATCTCCCGTTTTAGTTAATTTATGTTACGAGTATCATTTTCTATGTTTTTATGTATGTAATATGGTATTGGCTTCTTGAAAATTGAAGGTTGAATGAAGCCTTTATTTATTCAAAAATAAAATGACTATTTGAACTTTAATGGAAGCCGAGTATCGAGTATAAATATATGTCATTACTTATCTTATTTTTGTTGTTCCAATCTCTATGTTATGCTAGAAATAATGTTTTGTTGCACCAATACAAGAATACAAGATTAGTCATTAAGCAAAGAATTTGAATTGAACAGTGGAGTACGGAGTACCAATTACCAAACAAGCACATTTGGTAAGGGTGTTACAAAGAATAAAAATCGATCATTAATTAAGTTGGCTATTCAAGTGGGGAAATGTATGGGCTTGGCTGGTGGGACTTGATGGCTAGATAATGCCATAATGGGACAAGAGTATGTACCCAATGCTTCCCAAAATAGTAATACCATTCGAGCATTATTGAGACGATTTATTTATTTATTATTATTATAGCAATCCAATATTAATAACTATTAATTGAGATGATACTAATTTGTACTCACAAAACAATTACAAAGTATATTTTATCTTATAGCCAATCATCAACATAAGTCAAAGTAAATTAAGTAAATAATGCATAAAGCCAAAGCGTTTCACTATTTTTTTTTTAAAAGAAAATATATTAACTTGATAGATAAAGGGTTTGTTATCTTCAGCTTAATTTCAATTCAATTCAATTTAGTTTTAAATTTCCTTCTCTCATTAACAATTCAATTCATTTCAATTCAGTTCAGCTACAATCAATTCAGCAAATCAAAACATGTCCAAAATCAATTTTATAGTCTCCATCACCGACTAGTTAGCATTGTCACCTTTCCTCAAAAAAAAAAGTTAGCATTGTCACCTTGCCACTCCTTTATTAAAGCTTAGCATACTTTTTATATCAATCAACGCGTTTTAATTTTGATATTACTCTCATTTAGTCATTTGTACTCCGTAGTATTTTCTTGTGACTTACTCCCTCCGTTTTTTTTTCTTAATACTTGTTTCATTTTTTCATGCACATAGTTTTAAAAAAAATTTGAAGAAACTAATAAATTATGGAAGTAGTGGGGTAGGTGGAAAAATAAAATATTGTAAAAAGTAAAGGTAATTGAGAGAATTGGATGAGAGGGAATATAAATATAAAATTAATAAACATGATTTATGTTGGGTCTACTAGCTGATAGAAAGGAATTAAATATTGTTAAAGGAATCGGAATATAAAAAAGTAGAGCAAGTATTCAAAAGCGGAGTCAGTATAAAAAAAAACCATGATTATATGAAGTTCTATTAGATATAAAGTTCATTTTCATCTTCAAAATAATCAAAGAGATTGATATTTGATTATAAATTTTAAAAACGTTTTGAAATGTGTCATGAAAATGAAATTTTGTAAAACAATACTCCCTCCATTTTTAAATACTTGCTCCACTTTTCTTTTTCGGCCGTTTTTAAATACTTGCTCCATTTCCTTATTTGGAAAGCTTTTACAATATTTAATTAATTTCTCCCACCAAGTGGATTCAACAATATTAATTCCATATTCTCTCTCCTTCAATTCTCTGTACTACTTTTGATTTTTTACAATTTTTTATTCTTCCACCAACCCCACTACCTCCATATTTCATTATTTATCTAATTTCTCCTAAAACACCGCACATGAAGAAATGGAGCAAGTATTTAAAAACGGAGGGAGTAAATTACTCCGTATTTATAACTTTAAAATATTTTATATCTTACAAATAATACCCAAAGTTCCAACTAATATTTAAAGGAGTAGAAAAACGAACCAATGCATAACGTGGACAATCCAAACCCGCTAATTCGTCAATGATTTTTAAAATTAGTTTGATACTTTGACCACATTATACTTTAACTAATCCCCCACAAAACCAACCACTCAAGTCCATGGCCCGTCTAGACGCTCATTCACTCTTCCGTTTCCGACACTTTCCTTCCACCTTCACCACCACCTCAACCCACCGTTACCTCCGCCTCCACGTCACCAAATCCGACGTGTCATCTTCAACCCAAATGTCAGATAATGGGGCCCCACATACAGTTCAAGTCCACCCATCTCTCGAAGTCATCGGAGGAGGTCGTGACAAGTATTTACCCGCTTTGAAGAAGAATCTGGAGCACCCATATAACCCGTTTCCGTTAATCGGGTCAAACCGACACGTGGAGACTATTTTTGCAGCGTTTTACCGGTCGTTACCGGATGTTAAGTTCCGGCGTGAGTGTTTAAGGACTAAAGATGATGGTGCTGTTGCTCTTGATTGGGTTGCCGGTGATCATAAAAAGCTTCCTCCTCTTTCTCCGATTCTCATTTTGCTAGTAAGTTGATTTCTAAATTTTAGTTTATAATTCTAATCTTTAATTTAATTCAGTCTAATTTGTTGATTCTATTAAATTATTTGATAGTATAAGTTTAAGGGAAATAATTGGAGGTTGTCGAGTTTTATTATACACCCGGGAGTACCAATCATCATAGAAACTAAAAATTAAGTTTAGTAATTTACAGGACATTCCTGTACACCCGATTGTATAATAAATTAATATGGTAGTTGGGACTTGGAACTAAGGTGGAATTTAGTCTTAGTTACTTTCAATTGTGACTTTCTAGAATAATGAATTGTGTTGAAAATGGAAGTTTATGTGCCCAAATTTCAAATGCCATCTTTGCTAAGTGGGTGAAAACATCTAAAAGAGAGTGTTTTCTTACTCCATAATTAATGACCTCTTTATTAGCTAGGAATTTCTATTTTTCTCTATATTTAGATTGCTCTTACATTGGTTGAGAGAATGAGAGCAAAGTCAGCAAACTGACCAAATGAGAATGGTAAGTAAGAACTACGGTGTTTCTTGTTCATAAAGAAGGAAAACTAATGCACGTATCTGTGTTAATTGTCGCATTGTTCCAACCCATTAGGATATGACACAGTGTTACTGAAAGTCACATATATATGAATTGGTTTATTTTCAAATTCTCAATACTCAACCTTAGTACGTACTATTCTAGCTCATGACAACCTTTTCCGGTCACAAGTCATTGATAATTGTCATATGGAAACATTATAGGTTATTTAGAATGTAAGCTAAAGTGTGCAACCAAAACAAACTCTGCTACATATTAACTTGAACTCTGGTTGCTGGTTTCTGACTTTGATGTGCTTCTGATGAGAATATCTTTCGTCATAAGGGGATCATAAATTCATAATGTATAACAAGCAAGGTGTAGTAGAAATTTCTAGCTGACAAAAATTGAAGGAGAGCATTAATAAAAGATATTAATGAAAATGTGTAAATTGGCAAAGGAAGTGATCTTACTGATAAATTGAGGGAAAGTTTGTGACTGAAGTAGTTCCTAAACATTAGATCCCACTCTTGCTCCAATTGTTTGATTTCTTTTTTCAAACAAATTTCATACCCATGAATGGAACGCCGTGTCAAAGACTATTGCTTAAGTAGGTTGGAGAAGAGTGTTGAGAATGATGAAGCATGGTAATAGAGATTAATGAATAATGAACATATTGTGCAGCCAGGTCTTACAGGAGGAAGTGGTGATACTTATGTGAGACACATGTTGATTAGAGCCAGGAAGCTGGGTTGGCGAGTGGTTGTCTTTAACAGCCGTGGTTGTGGTAATAGCCCCGTTACTACTCCTCAGGTAATTTCTTCCTTACTCATCGTGTTCACTCTCCCCTCCCCCTCTCCAAAAACAGAAGGAACTATAGATAGAGAAAGAAAAAGATTGATACTACAGATTTTGAAAGGATATAAGTGTTGATATGGGCAGTTTTATTCAGCATCATTCACTGGGGATCTTACTGAAGTGATTGCACACGTCAGTGGTAGATATCCGGAAGCCAAGTTATATGCTGTCGGCTGGTCTCTTGGAGCTAATATACTTGTGCGATACTTGGGTCAGGTATGTTCTATTTCATTTTATGCTTTTAGATTGCTGACATGATGTAGTTACTCTATTAGCTCCTTTAATAACTGTTATTGTGTTATTTGTGAATTGTTTACTTTAATTTAACACTCATCAGACTTGTATTTCCTCAAGGTGATGTGTACAGTGCATCCAATGTATAATGTAGATTCCTTGATCAGGTTAAGGAAATCGTAGCCATAACCTAGATAAATCAATTCATCAATACGTAGGACTGGCATATCGTTCTTCAATTGTATACAGTAATAGCTTCAACACCGTCTTTTAAGGAAATTTCACAGTTATTGCAACATTATTGGATTTTGCTAGTAGGTCTCTCTATCCCTCCCCCCCCCCTCCTTTTGTAGTATATATTGAATAGAGGAAGACCATATTTTCTTCACCTTATTTTAGAAACTTATGAATTAATCTTGTTAGAATTAGATACACCAAACTAAAAGATTCAAACCACATCAACATTAAACTTCATATTTCCATTTACTTATTATTAAATATCTCTAATTGGGTATTAATAATATTTATGAACATGAAATATACAGAAATTATACTTTGAGATTGTTTATACTAGATTCTACTTGACAATGTTTTTCTTAGATAGTAGTGTAAACATACAATAGAAAGATTCAGACCAACCCTTAGCAAAACAGACCTTATTAATCATGCAGATTTGTCATCAAAAGTTGTCAATTTGCCATGCTGATGAGAATAATAGGTGTATCTCTTTTACATTCTTTAGTCTTTACTTACCTCCATCAACTGTAAGATTTTAAATGAGTATTATGTGTGTTTGTTGTGAATCGGTTTTGACTGTAGCTCATGTTCATTTGCAAAGGCACCTAAAGATTGCTGCTTACCGTTCTGTGTTTTTCAGCTCATGTTCATTTGCAAAGGCACCTAAAGGCACCTAAATATTTGTTTTAAATATTCTCAGTTTCTCTCTAATTACTGTGTTTATCCTTTTGTAGGAATCTCATAAATGCACCCTTGCTGGAGCTGTGAGCCTGTGTAACCCTTTCAATCTACCAATTGCGGATGAGGACTTCCACAAAGGCTTTAATAATATTTACGACAAAGCATTAGCAAATAGCCTTAGAAGAATATTTAAGAAGTAATGACAATCTGCGACTTTTAGCTGTCTCTTTATTGTTATATATATATATACACTCTCTTCTCCCGGGAATAATAGTTACTTATACTATTTGAGGTGTTCGATTATGTTGAGCAACTTTTGTTAGTTTTTTTTTCAGAATTATTTTTTATAAGACCAGTTTGCTTGCTTCTCAGGCATGCAGCTCTTTTTGAAGACATTGGTGGAGAGTATAACATACCAATGGTTGCAAATGCAAAGACTGTAAGGGAGTTTGATGAAGGGCTGACTCGAGGTCAGTACGATTCTCATCTGTAGAAGAAAAAATTTCTTAATGCAATGTGTTATTCATCTCTAATTTGATTGCCTAATCTAATAATATCTTGCAGTATCTTTTGGGTTCAAGTCAGCTGATGACTACTACTTGCATTCGAGCAGTGCAGACTCAATTAAGGATGTCTGTACACCGTTGCTATGTATTCAGGTAGTGTTTTGTTGACATGTATGCATCTGTATATGTCAAACATTTGTGTGAGAATGACAGAAAAGTGTAGGGCATCATTTTTACAAGCACTTAAATAAGCTGCCAATAATGGGTATAAAAAAAACTGAATGTAAATAGCTTGCTTTGCTGCAATTGCAAGTACAGTATGTTACAATAAAGAAGAGTGGAAAGTACTTGAATTAGTGATGAGGGAGATATAGCCGTATACTGTATATATTCTCTGTATACTGTATATATTCTATGTCAAGAATATGAAGCCTGAGTGTGAAAATTGAGATGTGGACTGCATAGATTAGTGGATTACTACTTACAGGAGTCGATAAACAATATGAATTTTCATAATTTGCAGGCTGCAAATGATCCCATTGCTCCAGCCAGGGGTATTCCTCGCAAAGACATCGAGGTTTGTGTTATTTTGCTAATTTTGTTCATTATTTTACTCCAAAATTTTTTATTTTTTATTTAAAAACTATATAAGGTTGGTGTGTTTTTGCACATTTTCTCATCTCTCACACTGAGAGTTGATGAATCACTTGTCTTTGATTGCTTATATTTTGGACGTTAATTTTGGATCCTTGTGAATGGTTATTATATACTGCATCTTAAGAAGTGTGTATTTTGAAGTAGCTTGCCACAAAATTTCATACTTTGTTAGATTTTGAATGTTCCATGCAGTTAGTTGGGATAGCTGGGTGTGGTCTCTTTGTTTTCTATGAAATACAAGTATATTCATACTACCTAGTACTCTCGTAGGCTAGTAGCAGGTCTACTATGTGCTGGGATGGCGCCTATTATTATGAATATTGCTATTTGCTACTCGTAATTATTTATTGCAGCCCCTTGATATAACCCAGTATTGAACATACTATTGAGCTAATATTGTTGATTTCACTGTTCTGGTGGTCTGATCTGCGCGGGAAATGAGTTTGCTGTTTGCTTTTTTCTAGAACATGTGATTATTTAGCTCTGAAAGGTGGGTGTTTGTCTGTACAATGGTGATCAAACTGTCCTTTATCTAACTTTGTTCTCTTCTATCAGGAAAATCAGAATTGTTTGTTGATTGTTACACCGAATGGTGGTCATTTGGGGTGGGTTGCTGGTAATGAAGCTCCATTTGGAGCACCATGGACTGATCCATGTGTGATAGATTTTTTGCAACATCTTGATAGGAGATTGTCCGAAACCTCGTCGTCACATAGCCAATTGAATGAGGCACCAATGTGTACCGAGGGTGGTTTGGTAGCAGCCGAGGTATAGCTGGCGATTAAATGATTGCTGTTTCTGTGTAGATTGTTAGCATTTAGCAATACATAGCTTCTGAAAAACAAATTGCTCAATTCTTTCTGATGCACCCAAGATTCTGTAGATAGTTCGATTCCTTCACTAGACTTCCTTTTAGGAAGCTCGAGGCATGATTTATTGGCTGATACGATTCCAGCAACCATTGTGTAATTGCTAATGACACAAATGTAATATTATTTTGGAAATGTATTGAAGTTTGCATTAAAATTAGTTACCCTCTTACTGTGTTGTACTGTATAGAGGTGAACCAATGCACACACAATTAAAAGCATGCTAAATTGCTAATACTTTCCTAGCCACTGCTTTCTGTAATTTTTAAAGTGAACACTATTTTAGTAATTTATTTATTTTTTAATACCAATTTGGGGCAAATCATTCCTGCTTTCTGTAAAAAAATTTTCTCACTTTATATTAGTTTTTTTTTTTTTTTGAAAAGATAAATTGGGCACACTGTATGAATAGTAAGCTGTAAAGAACAGAACAGTACATCAGAAAGTATAAATTCCCAAATTTTCCCTCCATTAAAGAGAGTGTTTCCAAAAATGGAAAAAATGGGTTAAGCTAAGTTTTGCAATTGCTTTTACCAAAAATAATTAGTTTCTCTTCCTGATTGATTTACTTATACAGAGATTAACGCTTTGTTTGGATAGCAAAGAAGGAAGGAAAAGAAGGGGAGGGAAAATGGAGGAAGGGAAGGGAAAAGAAAGGGAGGGGGAGGTGAGCTCCATTTTCCCTTCAAATCTCTCCAATTTTGGATCCCTCCCTCTCCTTCCCCTTCCTTCCCCCAATCTTTTACTCAAACAAGAGATTTTGTCCCCCTCCATTTTTCTTCTCTTCTTTTCCTTCCATTTCTTCCTATCCAAACAAAGTGTAAATGAATTCCATTATCTTCTTCACTATCACTCTTTCAGCTCTGATCCTCCACTTTTCTCCTTCTAATTTCAAAAAAAAAAAAAAAAAAAAAAAAAAAAAAAAAAAAAAAAAACAGTTTCAAAACAGAGTAACATAAACAATGGCATCAATCACCCTTTTTTCTACTATCATCATTGTAATGATCTTGGCAAACTGTAAGTCCTCTTTAACAAATTCTATGCCCTTTTGTTTTCATTAAATTTCTGTAATTCTAGTAATTTTTTTAAAGCTTAAATGTTCTTGCATTAGGTGGACCCGCGAATTCGGCTGTAAATGACAGCAACGGTGGTGAGCAACCGCCGAGATTTTGTGGAAAAGTATGGTTGAATCCAAAGTATGTATGCCGTTCATGCCGTACTGGAAGAACTTGCTGGTGTTTTCTAGAATTCGATTGCGGGTATAACTGTAAAGAAGAATGCATGAAGATGTTCAACACTACATGCACACTTAATCCTCCTGCTAAAAAGACTAATAGGTTTAACCAATTTGGTTTGATCTTGGTTATTACTTTAGCTATTTTCGTGTTTTTTGGTGGTTTCTTATCTTTTTGTCATTTTCGGTTGTCAAAACCAACTCTTTAAGCCTTAACAACTTACTAATTGTAACCTCGGTTAACAGTTAATCTATCTACTTAGATGTTGCAAACTTTTTATTTTTTTCTTTTGTAAAATTCAGTAATGTAAGTATGTAACTATGTAAGGCTATTAAAGCAAGAAGAGATGTAAAGAGTTGAGAAACATTGCTTGTAATTGGTTTTGATCATCCTTCCAAAACTAGGCTCTGCAAGTAAAGATGACAGTTTGTGTTAGATTTTGGGAAAACTCCTTAGCCTGGAGTGTGTACCAATGAATAATATATATAGTGTTACAATACTAGTGCTAAACTTGTTAGGAAACCTAATACGATAAGAATATAATATTTAGCAGATTGAAATATGGATACAATTTTGCAATTCCGCAATGCACTTGGCCAATGCCAATTAAAACAAGCAATTGCTTGTTCCTTCGTTTTGATGGATCGTTGACAAATATGGAAAATAGTTTGGAAAAGATTTTTTTGGATAACTTTTACCTTATTGGGCATTTGGGCTTAGAGATTTGACCATTGTAAAAAAAAGCTCATTTAAGAATTTGGTAAACATTCAATTTCCAAAATTGATGAGAAGGAGGCTTGGCTCAGTTGACCAAGTCTCTTGAATTCCTGATTTTCAAGTGAGAGACATGGGTTCCATTCTCATCAAACTTATCTTGGGAGGATTTGCCTTATTCCCCTCTCAAGGTGAGTGTTCACCTTACCAATTAAAATATAATAATAATAATAAAAAAAAACCCAACAATTTCCAAATACTTACTTTAATTTGTATTTCAGTAACAATTTATGATAGCAAAAATTCTTAATTTGTTTTTTTTCATTTACCCCATATCAAGTGTTTAAAGCTACTTCGATCATATTTAAAACTATAAATGGGTAACTAAAAAATTACAGTAAAAAGATACTCGTATCATATGTAATTGAAACTATATGATGCCTTTGGAACACAATGTTCAATTATTAGTTTAAATTTTTTTTCAAAAGTCAATTTATATACAAATTAAATCAAATTTATTGGTTTTACTAAGTAATTTTATTCTGAAAGTACATATATTAATTTAATATGTAATTGAAATATTATAAAATAGTTTCAAGTTATATGCAATGACTTGGGGATCCAGTTTGGACCAGTAACTAGCTAGTTAAGAACTTAATTAATAATACCATACATCTTATTAATTGCTAATTGCCAGACAAGGTAAACCATTCCTTATATATGCTACAACAAGCCAACATGTTATTTTATATTTTAATTTTGATGATGTAAGTATAATTTTATGTTAATTGGTCATCTTCTACATAGTATCACAAATTAATAAACAAAACAAAAAACAATACTCATCAGTCTTTGTATCACATGCTTACATTTGTTTTTCTATAATGAAATATTTCTTAATTAATCTTGTCACGTAGCTAATTCAAATTATACGGTCAACCCTAATTATCAAATACAAGGGGCAAAATAAAATTTTCATAGTTTGCAATACACACAATGAAGCTTTAATATCTTTAAAAAATACATATTACACGAGCTACATGTTAATTTTTTTATATACAATTATTAATTTATTATAATTAGAGTCTATTAAACATTCAACTTTTTGGATATTGCAAGTACGAATTTTTTTATAGTAAGAACAATAACAACTTCTCTTTGTAAAATGTTCATAAATTAATTAGATTCAAGTCAAAATGTTCATAAATTTGATTGTACTTCTTGGACTATGTTGTGGCGGCCACGTCAATGTTCCTATCAAATGTGGTGCTAACATGACGCATAGGAAGTTAGCAACCAATATTACTACAATGACAACAACGTATGTTCATCGTGCATGTGCTGTGTGAATATTTTGAGCTTTAATTGAGTATAATCTTGTCTAAGCTTAGTAAACACTAAGGTCACAAAAACGTTTCGTTCTAGCTTGATGAGCTTGTTTAGATTGTGAAGTGTGTACATTCTTCTTATAAATTAAGTAGCTTGTTTAGTGTCGTGTGTACATGTAATTGATGTAAAGTCAAATGTCAAATAATCATTTCGTAATACGGAGTATTCACTAATATTTAGATGTCATACACGCCCTAGATATAACCATCACACAAAGCAAGACTACTATGTTTATAATCAGAAAATGTTAGGATTCAACTCTTGCATTTTTCATGCTACCCCTTTAATAAAAGCCTAATGTTTAAATTTATGTTAAACTTATAGACGACTAATAATACTAGTGAAAGAGATTCAAAGAGTAGAGGCCAGGAAAAAAATTGGACAGCTTGTATTAGGGGAAAAGGACATTAATTAATAAATTCACATTTACAAAGAACCATATTAAAAATAAATTAAGGATACATCGACGATTAGTAGTACTTGTACTAGTACATAACTACACTTGATTACAAGAACCACAAAAAAAAAAAAAAAAAAAAAAAAAGGAAAAGAGAATGAAAGAATTACAAAACTAATTACTGTATTAAGTTTATTTGTTTGGAAATGTGAAATGTCCCATCTATATGGTTGTATCCCATATGAAATACAAAGTATTACTCGTATTAACTTATATACATAGGATACTACTAAATTAAACAAAACTCATTTGGCCAATTACCCTCGTTTATAATACGGAGTACTACTAAACATAAAGCGTAATAAGCAATGAATATGATGTAAATAAATTAAAAGTTCATGTTGGTTTAGATTTCATATGAAGTAAACAATTACAGAGTCATAAACATTAAACACAGAATTGTAAGTAGTACTATAAACGAGGGTAATTGGCCAAATGCTTAGAAAATAATTTATTATTATTTTTTTTTTCAATTAAAATGGTACGGAGTTTTATAGTTGAAAAATTATTTTATTTGAGAAAGTCAACATTTGTTTCATATTGCAATTTAATTATTTTATTGATAATTATCTACTAGTATATGTTTCAACTTTAAGATTGAATTGTTTCATCTTTTATGTATTTTTTTTTATTTTTTTTTACGTATGTTAATATGTGTCTCAAAAATTTGTTATATACACTCAGATGTACACCTAATTTATTCAAAGTAATTAGTTTTTTGCTGTTCATTTGATGAATAATTGAAAAACAATCATCAAAATGTGAACAAATACTCATGTCTTGTAAAAAAAAAAAAAAAAAAAAAACAAATACTCATGGAAGTACGATGCAGAGGGTGTTTATAACAATCTCTTGTACACCCTCTACACCCTCCGTTTTAAAATACTTGCTCCATTTCTCCATGCGCGGAGTTTTAGGAGAAATTGGAGAAACTGAGAAAGTAATAAAATATAAAGGTAGTAGGGTTGGTGGAAGAATAAATTTAAAAAAAAAAAAAAGCAAAAGTAAGAGAATTGGAGGAGAGATTATGAAATTAATAAAATATAATTTATGTTGGATTCACTTGAATTAAAATATTGTACAAGCTTTTTATATAAGGAAATGGAGCAAATATTTAAATATGCCAAAATTAAAAAATAGAGCAAGTATTTTAAAAACGGAAGAAATATGTCTTTGTGTTTGAGACTTCTACCGTTCTACGACAACGTCATATTGCAATACCATTTATGTGAAAACATAATACAAATTGCTACTCAATATTGTTTATGGAGGTCTGTACAAATTACGAAAAAGTACATGTATAGCTATTAATCTTAAAAGAAATATATATTTGAAAGGTGACCATGGTGAAAGGGGTTTCTTTTATATATATATATATATATATATGTATATGTATATGTATATGTATATGTATATGTATATGTATATGTATATGTATATGTATATGTATATGTATATGTATATGTATATGTATATGTATGTATGTATATGGAGTTATAAATATTTGGCCGATCTTTCATGACTTTGTTATTATTATTATGATAAATTTTAAAGTAAAAACTTTTTAATTGAAAATATATGCATATATTTTTTACACACATATTTTAAGTGCTAGATAAGGAATAGTTGCAAGTAACCTATTCTTCCATAAGTATTCACTTAAAAATATATGCATTTCTTAATTGAAATTTAAATAACCAAATTTACCTTTAAAAGGAATTTTATTAGGAAAAGATATATGTAGCCCTTATTAAAAATGGAAAGAATTGACAATAAATAAACATTTATTACACCGATTTACTGTGAATTGTTGATAAATTTCCTTCTTACTATTAAAAATTGAAGTATATTAAATGCTTATATGCAACCTTTAGCTGCATATAAGATTACCCATATTATTATTACTCCGTATTATTTTTTTATTATATTTTCTTTTGGGAAGAACTAAGTCACATGTGTAGATTTCTTTGTGTGCATTGTGCAAAGAAGAAAAAACAAAAATCTGGTTTGGATGCAGTTCATAGGGAAGTAGGGAGAAATGGAGAGAATGGGCCGAATTCCTCTTTAACATCGATGACAAGGACTTATGATAAACCCCCTAACGATCCTAACTGGCTAGCTTATCTTTAAACACCTTTATGCTATTCTTCCTCCTTTTAAAATTAAGTTATTAATTACATACTACATCCGTCCCCGAAAGAACGACCCATTTAGATTGATTTCGCGGATATTAAGAAAGTTAAATAAAAAGAAGTAAATGTATATTGGAAAGATAAATTTACATGGAATTTATAAAAAAGTAGAGAGAGAAAGTAATAAAAGTACATAGAAACAAAACTTTATATGGAGAAACTAAATTTGCACAAATATTATTGCAAATTGGTGGAAATTTTAATGCAAATGAGTCATTCTTTTTAAGACTAAAATTAGGCCAAATGGATCGTTCTTTCGAGGACGGATGTAGTAGTAAATTAATAACAAGTTTTGATTTGTGATCTGACACTATAAAAAAAAAAACAATAATATAATTATAAATAAAGTGTCAACTCACTTGATATTTCCTAAAAGCATAGACTCAACTACTGCTAAGTGAGGATATTCAGATGTATAAATTCTCTTACCTTGCCCCCCTTATTTTCAAACATCTCACCAATAAAACATAACTGAACCAAAATAATTGTGAAAATTAAAATCTAACCTTAAAAAATTAAATTGTCATTTTTATTCTTCTTATTTAGAATCTGGACACTAAATTATCCTAATATATATCTGATGTCAGCACAACAAATATAATCCAATTAAAAGTTTTAGATCTTACTTTTAGCCCCCTTGAAATTTGTGGAATGATGATGGCCAATGTTAATTTGTTATAACTTATAGTTCGTCCAATGATAATTAAAATGTATTTATATCATTAGCCACCTACATATCGGCTAATTCTTATAACAATCTTAACAAGTAATAAATACTAAGATAGTACCTAATAATCACTCCATTCGAGTATGTCGTGTGCCTTAATTATACACTAGAGCCCACAACAAAACCTATCGCCTAAATGCATGTGTATTATATGTATTTATGCGATAAGATGTTCATCACTATTCACTATTACTAGATAAGTTATGAAAGTCGTCCCTACTTTCATGGATGATTGAATCTTTAGCACGCAAAAATCAATGAAACAAATGTGTATAATGTATTGAATTTGATAAGTGCAAGTACTATCTCACTTTGTCTAGTGATGTAGGAAAGGGACCATAACAAATTCCCTAGTTCCCACTCAATTGGAATAATGTTTGAGTTGAATTTCGTCATGAACTAACAAGAACATTTTACATACGTGTGCCTTAGCTCTAATTTGTTACATATTGTCTATCTATAAATGTATAATACAACTTCATTACGACACTCCAAATTAAACATCCCTTATGTTAGTTCATTCAACTCATTCCAAAATAATTCTAACATTTTCTATATTTTCCATTATTGTCTTCTATTTTTTTTCAACATTTTTTTATTGAAAATTCTACAATGTCATTCTTAAATAATGACACCACAATATGTTGATGTGGCAAAATATAATAGCCTATATTTTGTATTTTTATTTTCATTTTGAATTATTTTTAATGTCAACAATGTATCAAAATTGTATTCTTTTTTGTATTATTTAAAATATTTGTATTATTTAAAATACATGTAATTTTTTAGAAATACATAATTATATATTATGAAAATGTATTTTATAATATAAATTAATTTTGAAATTTATAATTATAATTAGAAATAATCGTGATAAAAATTGTTCATCATCATCATTCATCATCATTGTTCGATCATCATCGTTCGATCATATGGTTCATGATTGTTCAACCATATATTTTTTATCATATATTTTCCATAAAAAAAAAACCATACATAAATACCCATATAACTCATACAAGTATTACTTATCAATTATCAATAATACAACTCTATGTTATGAAAGGCATTATATATTCAAACTTATACAGGATAAAGATATTAAAATGAAGAATTTTTATAAGTTGCTATATATTTTCTTTGCGGGTATGTTAAGTTGATACTTCTTGAAGAATGAAGAAAACAAAAAATTTAAATGGATAACATTTTCGAGATGTAGATACTTGAGAGTTGAGAGAGCATATCTAAGCGAATATTTTTTTCCTCAGCAAAATTTGTTCAATAGATAATATATATACATTCATGGTTATTCCTCTTTGTAATGGTCTTTAATTTTAATGATGAGTGTAGTATTACTACTCACTAGTCACTACTGCAGAGTACTCCCTCTATCCCTATTTTTTTTTGCCCCATTTAACTTTTTACAGTCTCCAAAATGCATCTTAGAATGCTCATATCTTTATTTTTATACACGTAAAAATTATAAAAGTGTGATATATATTAGTAAAATATACAATGAGTCGAATCTAACAAGATCATATCACTCATTACCATATTATCTCTTATAGATTAACGGTAATTAAGGTAAAACTTTACAAAGTTTAATCTAAAAAATACAGAGTAACAATGGGGGTAAAGATAAAGAGAGAGAGGGGAGTAATAGACAAAAGTGAGCATTGAATATCAAAGTATGGAGCTCCCACAAATCATCAATTCTCCACTGTCCACTTAGCATTTCGTTATTTCACGTGCACATGCATAAACACAGACATATACCAGTTACTTAAACTAGTTGATAGGGCGATATATTAGAGAAAGCTTCATAATTTGGTAACCTCAACCATGGTAATTTGAGCAGGCAACTTTCTGTGTACAATATACCATATAACTTGTATATGCATGGTAGAATTGTTGATTTAATGTTATTTTTTCCATCCATGTAGTTAAACTTAGTGAACACATGGGCCAAAAATTAGCCTTGTAAGGTGAAAATTAGACGAGAAATGGTCCTCTTCATACCCAACGTGAAATATTCCACTTAAAAATAAAGGTAGATGATTTTAATTAAACTCGTGATTTTATATCATGTTAGCTCCAATGCCAGGTTAAAAAATCAATTCAATTGAAAAGTTAAAACTTAAAACTTTCTGCAATAAAATTAGTAAATACATGCAACTATATACGCAAGTATAAGACTTTCTAAAAACACGATAATAGTACAAAAAAACTACTAAACCAATAGTAGTTACAAAGCAGTTCATGTCCACACCAGTCTTTTTTAAAAGAACCGTCAAAATTTAGGTCATTTTCAGGAATAATTGAACATTACAAAGCCATATGTAAACCAAAGATCCTAAGCTACCTTGACTTGTATTATTAGTCCTTATATTAATTGGGCTCCAACTAAATATGATATGTATGCTACAATTTATCGATTACGATTTACCTTTCCATATCATCTAGTCGGATCATCCATCTATCAATTATCAACAATTACTTCCAAATCTCCAACACTAGACCACGTGGCATATACCTTATCCTTATTAACTGCACAAGGTTGATCATTGGATAATTATGTCTATTATTAATATACCTTTTGCGTCATTGCATCCACTAAAATAGTAAAATCACTATGTTTTGACCACTCACTTATATGTAAAATTAAAGTTTAAGCAGTTCTGTGATTCTGTCAAAAAAATAAATAAATTATATAATCTGTTAATGCTTTCATATGATTATGAACAAAATTGAATCTTGGATTGCTTTTAAAAATGTTTTACCAATACCGAAAGTTGATTATTAGTAGAATTGTGCAATCGATATTCCTTTTCAATGTATGAAATACTTCTATGAAATAGTCTAGATATTATATTGGTTGCGCCTATTATCTTTAGGACTATGCACCCAAAAAAAAAAAAAAAAAAATAAAAAAAAAATAATCTTTAGGACTTTCCTAATATTACCCACATAAATAGATTTCCAACTCTTACTTCTTGTCTTGGTAAAAATCTCACAATAGTCTTTATTTATCTTAATTTTATTTCCTCATAGTAATCTCCCAAGTCTTAACATCAATCCCTGAGAATAATATCATATGTGATACTCTAGTATCATATTCTCATTATATTGCAATACTTGAGTAATCTTTTTTTGATCTCATCATTGTAGTTCAGTAAAAATAAATTATGGAATAAAATTTTAATGCACACTCTCTTCTCTTCTAACAAACCCAAGATTTCACTTTCGTTCCCCTATCCAATTTTGTTACAAAGAGTAGAAATAATTTTGCGGAACAAATTAAAAAAAGTAGTGTAAGTGATGGATTAGCTAGTCCTATAAAATGCACAAGTATATTTTTTCCTCTTTTCAAGGAAATAAAATTGTGTAAATTACAAAGAGATAAAATCGTGTAATGAGAAAAATAACAATTCACGTCCAAGTACCTAATGTATTTGGACATTATAACAATCATTATTACAATCCCTTTCATATATTAATATGGTAGTCTAAATTTTGCACGGAAAAAATGATCATCAATATTATATTGATATTTATCCCAACCAAATAACGTGTTTAAATTTAGTGATTAGCTTAGAATTAAAGCACAAGAGATAAAATTTCTTTCTAATGACTGACGTAAGTATGGTAACATATCAATAACTTTCCTAACCCAACTTCAATACAATTCCCCTTTGATATTTTCTACTCCGATCCTCTATATAAACACTCGAACTTCATTACATTTACAAACACAAAACAACCCAAAAAAAAAAAAAAAAAAAAAAAAAAAAAAAAAACACGCTTGAATTTTTAACAACTCAATGGCAACCGGAGTTCCCCCAACCACTTCAATTAACAACACAATCTTAAACCATAATAATAAAAAACGTTCAAGTGACAATGAAGATTATGGTTACAACTCAATGATCATAACAAAGAAGGCCGCAATCGCGGCCAAGGAAGATCCCGTGGCAGCGCTAGCAAGCGCACGCCACGAGTTCGGAGAACACGGAGGGGTAAATATGTCAATAGAAGCATCCGCAACCTTTACGGTTATGGAGCCAGAAACTATGAGGCGGTTATTTTCAGGTGAATTAGGACCTGACCGTGACTATTTCATATATAGTCGTCATTTTAACCCTACGGTCCTAAACCTCGGACGCCTTATGGCAGCCTTGGAGGGGACGGAGGCCGCTTATTGCACGGCTAGCGGTATGTCCGCTATCTCCTCCGTCCTCCTCCAGCTCGTAGGCGCTGGCGGCCATATCGTAGCGTCTCAAACTCTATATGGCGGTACTCACGCTTTGTTGACGCATTTTCTCCCGCGTACTAGCGGGATTAATACTACGTTTGTTGATATATGTGATCATGCCGCCATTAAGGCGGCGATCGTAGAGGGAATGACTAAAGTTGTTTATTTCGAGTCGGTGTCGAACCCGACTCTTACGGTGGCGGATATACCTGAGGTGTGCAAAATTGCACGCGAAAAAGGGGTGATTGTGGTGGTGGATAATACTTTTGCGCCGGTTGTGATATCGCCCGCTAGGCTTGGTGCGGACGTGGTTGTGCATAGTATTTCCAAGTATATTAGTGGTGGGGCCGATATTATCGCAGGTAATGTCATCTTTAATTTGTCATTTGATCGTATAATTTTTTTTTTTTAATTTACCTATTATACATGTGTCTTGTTGTTTCTGCCTATTTTTGTCGCAATTTTGGTGCATGATTTTTGATTGGAATTTACTGCATGATTTTTTATTGGAATTTGTTATCTGTCTTTTGTTAATGTGTAATTGTGGTTAATTGGTATGACATGCACTGGTTAAACGGGGGACATTATTGATTGGAAATTTGCTAAGAAAATACCAGTGAAACATGCATGCACAATTATTCGTGTTAATATGCTACTCAATGTTCCATTAAGGATACTTAAAGTGGTTAGAGTATCCCGTTAATATTCGTGATAAAAATTGATGTTCCCAATGCACTTATGTCACCTTTTTTGCCTAAACACGTACATATGAGTTTTTATGAGAAGGGTGCATATAAATATTGTAAATAATCCAGTTAAAAAAAAAAATACTATTGTAAATAATGAACCACCCAACAAAAGTTAAAGTCGCAAAAGCCTAAATTCCACTTGATATAGGCTGAATTAAACTCTTCATACACAACTAATTTATGAACTCTTATGTATAATATACGAACAAAAAAAGTGTAAAAACTAATTGGAGAACAAGACTACAAGAGTACACAAAGTGTAATTTGAAACATAGGGAAAACCTTGGTGACAATTTAACATGTTAAAGATGCCAAATGACATTTTCGACCTCCATCATAAGATGCCTCTAGTAGACTAGTAACCTCAATTGTGGTGTGTGTCATAGAAATTGCCATCTGGCCCATCTTTGGGTTGTACCTATCAGGCCCACAAAAAAAACTTCCAACACTTTGGGTATAGGATAAGCTTCAACTCACATAGTCACGTTTCCCTCATTTCATTCACTCTTTACTTATGACTTTTGTAAGTTACGACAAATATGTCAACATTGTACTACTCTGAACTTTAAATTTCACCTTTCATCAATTGTAAAAATCCACTACTAGTCCCCTTGTAAAAAGACGACAATATCTACTCCGCAAAATTTTAAGAGGGAGCCTCAATTAATCTCCTATCACAACTTTATGCATTTGTTGTTTGTGCCACTTTACTATTTTATTTTTATTTAAAAAATAAAAGTAAAACAATATATTGTGAGAGGAGATTAACTTTTTATGTCAACAAATGTCAATCTCAGAGATTAACTTGAATTCTCTGATTTTTTTTATTTAACACTTTTCAAGTTTCCATATCGCACATTGTTTATAGTTATTTAAAGTTTTTCATCGATAAATGGAGTACTCCGTACCAATTTAGAAAAATAAATAGACATACTTATATTTTGCTTGACTTGATGTAGGTGCTGTCTGTGGGCCAGCAAGCCTATTGAATTCAATGATGGACTTACATCAAGGGGCCTTAATGCTACTAGGCCCAACAATGAACGCCAAAGTGGCATTTGAACTATCTGAAAGGCTTCCTCATTTGGGCCTCAGAATGAAAGAGCATTGTGCACGGGCCTTGGAGTTTGCCAAAAGGATGAAAAAATTGGGCCTAAAAGTCATATATCCTGGGCTAGAAGATCATCCACAACACGAGCTTTTGAAGTCCATTTGCAGCCAAGAATATGGGTATGGTGGCATCCTTTGTGTGGATATGGAGACCGAAGAGCGCGCCAACCGGTTGATGTACCAGCTCCAAAACTGCACCCAGTTCGGGTTCATGGCGGTTAGCTTGGGCTACTATGAGACCCTTATGTCATGCTCCGGTAGCAGCACTAGTAGTGAGATGAGTGAGGAGGAAAAGGCTCGCGCAGGCATCTCACCGGGCCTTGTTAGGATGTCCATTGGCTATACTGGCACGCTCGAGCAGAAGTGGGCCCAATTTGAGAAGGCTTTGGGTAAATTGCAGGATGTCAAGTTTAGTGTTCGCCATAAATGAACCAAGAGAAAAGGTCTTGTTGCACTCTTGAATCTTGATTAGCTCTGCCTTAAAATAAACTTTCATCAATTAGTATGATGCTGCAAGTAACTTTGGTTTCATACTATATTGTCTATATAAATGGCATTTTCAACTGTGGCAATGCCATATTTCGTTACATGTTCTGTCTTTATTATCCTTGTGATTGTCTATTCGTATTTTTATAGTCCTAGATAGACTTGACAATCAAGTCTTGCTTCGCCTCTAAGCCTCTTGGACTAAGAGTAAAGTACATGTAATTATATGTACGATTATATTGTATGTAGTGGGACTTACATGGGTACAGGGGAATTGCATTACCAAATAGTGAACATTTAGGAAGAACGAAAGTGAGTAGTCCGTACTCACACGAACATGACTGATTGCTTAGCACCATTGCATAATGCACTGTGGTGGAGCACGCTTAAGGCTGATAAGACATCAGAAGTTTATGCTTAATAACATGAAGTCCATTCGATAATGATTAAAACTACGATTTACTGATGATTTGGCAGCAGTGGAATTTGACAGTGTATCCTAAGGAGATGTTGCCCATATACAACCATCACAAATCAAATTATGAGTAAACATCCCCTGCCATTAGTCCAAATATTATGGAAAACACATGTGAAATCGAGCTATCTTAGGTATTGAAAGGCTTTCCCTTAGGACACCTTCGAGGAATTGCGGAACCAAACACACAAGCTTTGAGATCGAATCATTTCTTAATATCCGAATTTTTTGGCAAACATTGAGGATGTATACGGACAAATTGTAATGTGCATTCAAGGTATCCGAAATTAATGAACGTCCTACCACCATTGTCTAGTACCTCTTGTAAATGTAATTGCTCCAATTAATTTTCAGGTCATTCTCATTGCCGGTGCAAAAAGAGTTGAAGGCGAAAGCTACAAGATAACAACATTACACATTAAAACCAATATTTTTGTTGTTTTTCTGTTTTACCAACTCGAACATAGATTTAAAGTCCCTCTTTGCAAGGCAGAGTATGGATTAAAGACCCTCTTTCTTAGGCAATTCATCTATAATTAACTTGTCATTTGTCATTCCTTTGGTTTTCTAGTTCTTGCCGACATAGATTGAAAGAATGATCACTACTTACTTAGTATTATGCCCTTTTTTGGTCTATATCAGTACCCTACAAATATTTGGCCACAATTATTTGTCTATTGCAGTATTCATCATTTTCAATCATTCAGCAATTCACTTAGCAATGAGGCTAACCAACAGTCACTTTCTTACAAAGTTATGCTACTTAAAAGAGTTTAGACAAGCTAATTAGCCTCTTCTGTGTTCATACGACTCGTTCGGCCTATGTTCACATAGTCAGTCCTCCATGAGATGCTCGGAACTTCAGACCATATTATGATGCCACATTGTACTTAATCGCGGTCCAATAATGCTGTAGTACTAGACAAATGCATAGTCCGATTGATAGTCCTTTGTTATAGTCTCTAATTGTTTAACTAAGTTATTACAAATCAGAGTAATCATGTGACAAATTAAGATGAACTAGGTTAGCACGTATTGAACAAGTTTATTATTATAGTTAAGTACAGTACAAAAATTTTAACACGTTTTGTATATTATCTATCAAGGAAAATACATTTCATACGGAGAAAATATACAAATTCACACTTTATATTTGATCACATCGATTGTGTGAATTCAAACATACGGAGAGTGTACAACAAACTTTTATTCACGATCTAACTTCTATGTCCCCTTATGAAACTTACATCTTACCTTACACGGCAAACTTTGTTCTTAGTTAGTTAAGGTCTCAAAGAGTATATTTACACATTACACCCGAACTAGTAGGTTTTTTTTTTTTTTTTTTTTTTTTTTCGGGGATCTAGTAGTATAATTTGGTTTTACTCACTTTTGTACAATATCAACCAAACAAACTAATTAAACTCTCACGTCTTAGTCGTACACTCAATTACGCCTAGAGTGGACCATAACTTTAAGGGGATTTGCCATTTCACATGACAACTTCATGACTTCATTAAGAGTAACAGGATTTTGGTCACATTGTGTCCACACAAACTCATGAAGCAAAGTCCCAACCCAATAAGTAACGGTAGTTAACCCAAGCGCCTTTCCGGGGCAAGACCGCCTCCCGGACCCAAACGGAGCAAGCCTAAGATCCGATCCCAACACCGAGAAATCATCCATTTTACCAATAAACCTCTCGGGATAAAACCTAAGCGGGTCAGCCCATATATCGGGGTCCCGAGCTATGGCCCACATGTTAACCATAGCAGTTGTACCTGCTGGGATATGATACCCGTCAAGGGTTGTATCAGTTATTGATAAACGGGCCCATGATAGAAGTGGGCCGGGTGGATGTAATCTCAGAACTTCTTTGATCATGGCCTGTAAGTAGCCCAATGAAGGAATATCAGATTCCATCAACGGTCTAGATTTGCCAATGACTTTGTCTAATTCAATCTGGACCTTTGATTGGATATCAGGGTGTAGGACCATTCTTGCTAGTATCCACTCTATTAAGACTGCTACTGTATCAGTTCCTCTGAATATCATCTCCTGCCATTCGTAAACAAATTCGTTCAAAATTACAATACATAAAAAATATTTCCAAGACATAATTTATCGATGATTTGATATTACATATGAAGTATTATAGAGTACGGAGTAATATTTGTCACTTGTTTTTTTTTTTTTTTAACATTGTGAATATTGTTTTGGATATTTGTCACTTGTTTTTTTTTTAACATTGTGAATATTTGTCACTTGTTTTTTTTTTTTTTTTTTTTTTTTAACCCTAGAAAAAAAGGTGGTCTAAAGCTTTATGTGTTACTGTCACATATATCAATAATCATTACATCAATTATCAATAATGACGTTCAACTTATTAATTATTAGTGTTACTAAAAGAGTATGATTAGCTTATCCTAATTTTCTTTAGTACTAGCATCAAAACTGTCCTACTAATACGCAACCTCTTATGAGTCAATCTAGCGCGGATTAGCTGGTTAGACATTATGAGAGTGGGGAAGGAAGCTTGTTCTAAATAGAGATAGATGGAAGTAGTGTTACTATATGAAGAATGTTTATTCTCAATGTAAACGTCATTATACATGATAATAGCTACAAAAATGTTACTGTTAGATTTGTTTATTTGGTAGCACATCTTTATTCTTGCATTATTATAAGGAGATCGGATTTGTTGTCCCCACATCCCAAAAAAAGAAAAATACCACCAACAAGTTTATTTATTCATTTTAAGACAAAAATAGTGTATGATTTAAAATGAGATGATCGACCCTCCAATTGCATATACTATAATTATGAAATATCATTGGTTGCAACTGTCGTGATTACTTCATTCATGTATGCCTAGGTATATTAGGTTGAGATAAAGCCCCTATTTTATATACTACCTCCGTTACATATTATGGCAACGATTAGACATTTTTCCTCTCTACTTTATGTCAAATCGTTGCAAATAATATGTAACGGAGGTGGTATGTTCTTAACAAAATTCAAGTGGCACAACTTTACTACTAAATTAAATATTATTGTTGTGTACTCGACTACTCGTGTTGATAGTATAATTTAAATTAATAATTATAACGAAGTATAGAAGTATGAAATTAAAAATACTTACCCAAAGAACAGCCACCATATCAGAATCTGACAATTTATCAGGTCCATTTAAGGACAGTAAAACATCAACAAAATCATGGCTAGTCTCGTCACCTGTCTCGTGCTTATGGTCCCGAACCCGGTGCTCGGAAATAATCCGGTTAACAAACCGATTAACCCGAGGAACGAGCTGAGAACATCTCTCTCGGATCCTTTGAGGATCAAAGGAACCAAGCCAAGAAAAATGGTCAGACAAGTTGAGCTTCCCTAGCAAGTCATACCCTTCTTGTACGAGCTGACTAAGTTCTGCTGCCTTGCTATTATGCGAGGCAGTGGACAACTCGTACCGCCTTCCGAACACTGATTCCATCATGTTGGTCAGAGATGCTAGCTTCAGCATTTCCCTGACAGAAAATGCTGATGCTGCTGTATTTTTACCAACATTATTATTAATCATGTTCACCATTTGTGACGCGATTTCAGCTCTTTGTCTTACGCCGAGATTAATCTGTTTCGGACAGAACATATGGGTGGAAGCAATCCTCCGTAACGTCCTCCAGTAAACACCGTACGGAGCGAACCCCATCGCACGGTTAAACATCAAGCTGTAAGCAGACTCCTTAATCGGACGGTCAGCAAACACAGAATTACATAGGATATCTTTAGCTACGTCAGGATTGCATGTGATCACGACACGTGTGTCACCCATACTAAAGGCCATAAGCCTCCTAGCTCCTAGGAGGTTAGCCATGGAGGTTAACTTATGGTGGGCTAAGCCCACCATTAAGTCCATGCTTCCTATGATGGGATAACCCCGGGGTCCAGGGGGTAGTACCGGGGTGTTTCGTGGGGTGAATTTGTGGCGGTAGTTACCCCAAGCTGGCCCCTCGGGTTCAACCCAGTGGAACAAAACCATGGTTAATGAAGCTAAGCATAAGAGGGTGAAAAGGAAGAGGATAGTTTGTGGTGAAAAGGCGGTGCATTTGGAAGCGAGGGCTATTAACCATAAACTCTCAGTTTGGGATTCCATGGAAAAGAGGAGTTTTGTTTAATGGAGGTATTAGAGAGCTGAGTAGTGTACGGGTGTTGAGTATTTTGTGCGGCTTTCTATTTATGGTTTAGTTCAAAGGTAAGGACTAAGGAGGTGGGTTTATATAGAGAGGAGTGGCAGGCAATTAACATTGATACATGCGTTATTATTTGTGGTTTGATAAATGATAGCTGTAAAATGACACTTGTATTTTTAAAAAAAAATTAAGATAAAAACCCATATGTTGTATATAATGTGCGTGAGTTAAGACAAGTTGCTTGTTCTCAAGAATGAGAGGAATTTGGCCAAGTTATAAATAGGGGTGAGCAAACCGGGTACCCAGTCAAAATTTTAGGACCCAGATTTGAAATTGATTGAAATCGGATCCTAAAATTCGGATCTGGAATTGGAATTGGTTCAATTGGGTCCTAAAATTTAGGAATTTGTATTGGAACCACTGGATACCGGTTCCGGTTCCGGGTACCCACTTATGTTTGTAATTGTTAAAATATAATACAAATTATAATTCTTATTTTAGTTAGGTTCATTTTTAGCGTTTTTAATACTTATATTTTTATATGCATTAAGCTATTTGTATTTATGTTAGGTATTAATAATACTTTTTTAATTTACAAATTAGATACATTTAACATATTTTTATCATTTAAAATATATTTAGTTTAGCATATATTAGGTAACCGGCACTACAACATAAACGAGCAAAAGTGACGGTCAAATGCAATAGTTAAATCTAGTGCAATGGTTTGATGCAACGGTCATAGCTAGTGCAATGGTCTAATGCAACAGGTGAAGCTAATGCAACGGAATTTTTGCCTAATGTAATGGTTTTAAAATAACCGTTGCAGTAGCTCTTCAAATACAACGAATTTCCAGCCTATTGCCACGGTTTTATAATGACTGTTGCACTAGTTACTCGGTATTATTATCACGCATGTGCGCGGTGAACTACTGATGATATGTTAACTTTTCCAACTTTCTCGAAAATTCTAAATCTCAAAAATAGACAACCCTCGTCTCTTTTTTTTGGGGCTCTCCTCCATTGAAGCTCGCATCTTTCCTCATTGAAGCCCGCAACTCTCTCTCGGTCTCTCCTCTAGTGAAAATCTCACACTCTCTATTCTTCTATGAACCTTTCACTCGTTGCATTCTCTCTCCTCCATTGAAGTGTGAATTCTCCATGGTACCGTTCGTAGTCTAAATCCTCCATTGAAGTGACTTCTGGGCTTTTTCGTTCATTAAAGCAGCTTTACGAGCTTTTTTTTTCATTTGAAGCAACATTTGAGGTAATATTTTCAAACAATGAATATCAATTTCGTCATCTAGGATTTATCGCTAATTACTTGCATCATTATATTCAATCTAGGGTTTAAAGTTTGATTTGAAGCACGATTAATTTACTGCTCTTGTTTAGCTTGTTTCAATTCTAAATTTGTTTCTTTGTTTGATTTGTTCATTTTTGCTCAAGAAATTGAGAAAAATGGTGATAATTTTGGAAATTTGAAATATTGACCTTAATTAGTTTAATTCTAATTTTGTGGGGTTTATTGGATTTTTTCTGGGTTTACGATATTTGTTCAATTGTTGATTACAAAACATTTGATGGGTAGGGATTGGTAATTGATACTCTCATCAATTGGGCCATTCATTGTCATCATTTCTACAAGATGTAATCTCATTTTTTCTCCTACCTCAAATCAATTTTGATCTGAATTCTTGTAAACTATGTAGGCACTGATTTTTTTGAAATAAAGTACTCATTTCATAAAGTACAGTAGGAAGGGGAAGCCTAAGTTTTGCCCATTAAGACTTTCCACGGTGCCTATTCTTCTTTCCCCCCCCCCCCCAGTTTTTCTCTATTTTGATTAGTGACTCATGTTTGGTTTTTAATATTTGGTTATATTTCTTGAATCATATTTATCTAAATTTTACTTATTGTAGTATAATTTTTACTAGAAATACTTATATTACTAATGGTATGACCACAACGTCATCTTACAGTGGGATTAATTTCTCAAATCATCAAGGTATGCATCTACCATACTATCTTCTAGTGTGGGAGATCGGATATTTATTATTTACAATCATGTTATAAATGCTTGTTGTCTGTTATGTACTCTGTCTTTCCACTTCAATTGATAATTATTACCAGATAGTCATTAGTTTATGCATAATGTACAAACATTACATCTATAAAAAAAAAAAAAGACAAATTTTAATAATCTTTGCATTGTTTACCTGATGAAGCAAACTTTTTGCAGATCTTAACTTAAAGAAAACACCTCAATTGGTTGAGCCAATGAACATCAGTGAGGTGAGTATCTTCAGGCCCGTTTCTGATATTTTGATGGCCTAGGGGCAAATAAAAAAACGGGGCCCTAATAGGTTAATGTTTGAATTTACTAATGAATAAGGAAAAAAATTTGGGTGTGCAAAATGGAAAAAATTATATAACACTTTATTCAATGTAATACAGTATGTGCGTGTTTTTTATGAGTAGTACATCAATATGCTCTAACGTAATAAAAATTAAAGAATTATATCACCTTATCCCGCTTGTTAAAGCCAAAAACTATCAAAGATTATAAAATCAATCATGAATTCCCGATTACAATACTCAATTCAACAATGTACAATGATTAATACCTACAATTTCGTATAAGCAAGTAATTTAATGACACATATTAGAAATTAAATGTAATTTTTTATTTATTTTAAGAAAAGACATTAAGTATAATTGAGTATTACATATTTAATTTATAAAATAAAAAACACAAATAATTAAAAAAAAATTAAAACAGATATTAGTATTATAGAAAATAGAACAAATTCTTATAATAAATTGAACTTTTTCATAATAAAAATCGAAATAATCATCAATATCAACAATAGCAAAATTGAAAATTGACAAGCAAAATAGCTGAATAATTCGAACAAAATTAAAATAATATTGAAGACCTTCAAACAGTGAAATGAAAATTTGAGATGTAAAGAACATTTGATAGAGTATAAATATACAGAAAATTTGTAAGTATTAAATCTTTTAATCCCATTGAAATTTGTTTAATTAATTTATAGTGGAAAATATGTAAGGATATTTTTTTTTTGGTGCACAAATTATGTAAGTATATGGGATAGATATTCCATTTTCTGAAAAATAAATTTGGGAAGGAAGATGAATCAGAAACAACAAAGGTAAGGATAAATTAAATTGATTTCATAAATAAAAAAGATAATACGTGTAACATTAAATTGAATGGGAGAATTTATTTGGAATTATCTACTTCCCAAAATTGAAGGAGCTATTTTCTAGGAGATGATTAAATGTGATTGAAGTTTCAAAGGAATTGCTCCGTAATTAATCCATGCGCTTACAATGTACAATATATAATTAAATTGTTTAATTTTTTTTAGACTTGCATTAGTAGAAGCGGGCTTCAAAATTTGGGGCCCTGGGCGGGCGCCCCACCTGCCCTGGTCCAAATACGGCCCTGAGTATCTTCCACAAACATTAGACAGATTTACATCCTATTGAAATCCAATCCAATCTCAATGCTTTATTCATTAGTTTCTCAAACTTTTACGATGCTAAGTTTGTTTATTACCTTACGCTCCTTACCACCTAAAATAATTCATAAAAGAAATTTCTTTCTATTTGCTTAGATAGATGAATGGGCAGAGCTTGAACATAACACATCAATTCCTAGATGAGCAAAGATTTAATAGTATTAAAAGAAAAACCCCAAGCAAAACAATACTCTGTTAAATATTGCATGCTTATGGAATTTTGTTTGTATTTTGCGTAGTATAAAGAGTTCTATTTATATTTGCGTATACTTTGTTATTCCTGATTTATATGCAAATTGTTTTCAGGTACACTCCCATATTCGTTCTTGATTCCAAAGGATACTTTGATTTACTGATCAAGGCCCGTCAACTTTTATTGTAGACTTATTTCCACATTTTATACTTTAGTTGTTAGCTAGCCACTATGTTTGGTTAAAAACAGATATATCCAGAAAGTAGGATGAGCTAGCATTTTGCAAAAATCAAACCTGGTGATGTTGTAGAAGTGAAAGGGTAAGCTCCTCCGCCATATTTTTTTAGTGACGGTTAGGATTTTAGTGCAGTTATTGATCAAGTTGCTTATTTGAATTCTTGTACAGACCCATTGAGAAGCTTAGTTTACTCCCATTATGAAGAAACACATCGGCATGGTAAGAAACAAGACCTCTTACCTTTTAATTAGTTCCTATTTTTATATGAATTATTCTTATGAGATGAAAAGAACAAGGCCTCTGTCATACCTTTTAATTTGCCTATTGAACTTATTAATAGGGTGAGCAAGCCAGGCCAAATCTCAAAGGGTAGTGAATGAGATCTTTATACATAAGAATAATGCAAGATCATGTGTTTGTTCCTTGGAAAGTTCTATCTAATTACTTATACCGCTTGGCGGCTTGGATGTTTAGGTGGGACTAGTGTCACTCCAATGCTTCAAGTAGCTAGTTAGTTGAGGCTATTCTGAATCCCTTAAGATTAGTTCTCTAATAGCCTAATATATATGTTCTTGGTGCATAGGAGGATTGAATAAATTGTGTTTAGGTGATAACGTATTTACAATCTATGTTTAAAGAGAAGCTTCATGCTATTTGTCTATCAGAGTTAGTTTGATTGTTGTGTTGGGATAAAGAATTTTGTTTAGCCATATAGTATGGTTATTATTTCCTCTCTATTTTAATTTAATGTTGCTATAAATATTATTTAGTATTTGTTTTATTTATTATGTAGTCTATGATGATAATATTCCTATTTTTTTTTTTAAGAAATGAAAATATTCCTAATGTCATTTTTTTTTTTTTTTGTATAGGTACACGATGAACCACAATGAGTAGAACAGGAAAATTGACATGATTGTTGTGACACTCTTGATCGAGGATTGTCAGACTCGTACTTCTTAGTTTTGAGTTACTTTTGTTTACGGTAGTTTTAAATTACTTAATGACCTTGTTTAGGTAGATATATTAGGAGAATATATGATGCATTGTAAAGAAATGTATTTTGGCTTAGGAGTTATTTCAATGTAGCATTAATTGCATAATTATACAATATAATTAAATTAAATACTATACTTTTTTAATCAAAATTAAATGATTGTTATTCAATTTTGTTTACCTCATTTGTATATTGAAGAAGAAGAAGAAGAAGAAGAAGAATTTGATCTAAATATGCATTGCATCAAATCTACTGCAACGGTCTATGAGATTTATGATGATCGTTGCATTAGCTATATAAGACTGTTGCATTAGGACATAATGCAACGGTTCATGATAGATAGTATATGACCGTTGCATTAGGTCAAAAGACTGTAGCATTAAACCTAGTGCAACGGCCGCAAATGCTACGGTCCACCAACCGTTGCAGTATAGTAAAGGTTTTTTGCCCTATTGCAACGGTTTTTAGGGGTTGCATTTGCTCGTTTATGTAGTAGTGCGGGTACCCAACCGGTTTCAGTTCCAAAAAGTTGAGAATTGGAATTGGTTATAACTGGGTCCTTAATTTATTACTCGGAATTGGAACCACTGGGTCCAATTTCGGTTTCGGACCCGCCGGTTCCGGTTCCAATACCGGGTACCCGGAATTTTTGCTCACCCCTAATAAATATAGTGTGCTACTCCATCCTATCACGTACTCATTGATTTTAGGATGAAATCTTATTACGTTTGGTGATGAAATCTTATTTGACGTAATTAACTTGTTAGTCTTAACATTTTTGGTACCATATAATGTTGTAAAAAAAATAATTATAGAAAATTAAAACCGTCAATAACGTTCTAATAAAAAGATAAAAGGTTTTTCATGTTCATAATATAATTAAGAGACTATTAAAAAAAAAGAAGAAGAAGAAGTTATTCCTTATGGATAATAGCTTGATTATCTTAGCTTGATCCGTCAAATTGTACTATGAGTGTGACTTTGATTTGTCAAAAATTAAAATGACCATTTTCTTCACATAGTTGATGATTTTAAATAGATGCTACCCTATAAATCATACTAGTAGTACATAATTAACATAAAGTCAAGAAAACCATAAGCAACAAAAAAGAAGAAACAAATGTAAATAACGTAAGCAACTAATAAACGGATTAGTTGTTGATACTCATAAATAATACAAAGTACTTGTTAGGCCATAAAAAGTACGAGTCAAGTTGAAACAATTAGTTATGTAGTTGAAGTTGTGCATTGTGAATTTGTGATATAGAATTAATTAGAGAAATCGTATAACGGTAACTCGGTAAGTTAGTTTAATTTAGAGGTGTTCTAAGCGCCGCCATTGACAATAGTAAGATCGACATACGGAAAGTGATTAGCTAAATTTACGTTGATATGAATGTCATGCAAAATGCATGCAAAGGTTATTAATTTTATTATAATTATTTTATGTTATCTTAATTAACCATTAAGGTCATGTAACACATATGAAGCTGTTAGTTTTGCTGATTCACCGCAACTTCCGTAGACTACCTTCATTTCCATTTTTATTTACTGACGTAATATCTAAAAGTCCAACCAGCTAACCAGCACAAGAAAGTTAGAAGGTCATAATATTCCAATAAAACAATATGAAAATACTTAGAGACCTTTAAAAACTCGGGTTTTTGCTTCAAATGCACCTTATAATTAGCTAACCATCTAGCTGCTCAATTAGCTTTCCTTTAACAATATTCTATCGTAATTAATCTCCTTATTCTTTGGGACATAAGAGATTTGCATCTTCATATCACGTGTATATATACAAAGGAGAGCTAGGAGGAGTCTCGTCCACCAACATACTCAATACTACCTACTTACGTAGTATAAAATTATAATCCTTCATTCTTTTGGGGATAGATACATAGGGTGGTTTTTTAAAAGACTTAATTATTGTAATACTTTTTGTCATTTTAATTAATTGGAGATCTCCAAATAAAAAGCCCATAATTTAACTTTTCTAGATATTAGATTTTTATAGAACATGAAATCAATTTAGAATTTTGTTTAACTTGGTCCTTTGTTATGGTGAGCCATTGTGATAATAATCTTACAATTTGAATCTCATCTAGCTTCCTTTCCAAAAAAAAAAAAAACAAAGGTAGAGATCGAAATCTCAAACATGATGCTCACGAGGTGTAAATCCTGTTACTCTTTTTAGTTATAAAGAACATCAAGTGCAATTGAAAGTTATCAAAGATGATCATTGAAAATCATATGTAAAAGTATATTTGTACCATTTTATAAAAGAGGCCAAGTTCGAGCAAGAATATATACGATACAATCGATTCTGCACCATAAAAACTACTAGATGAATCATTGCTATGTTGAAGCTATAACCTTGGTATAACAGAATGATTATGGCTTTCTAGACTTATTGGCAATATTATTGCTAAAGCCACCATTATTAACACAGAAAGTGACCTAACCTTATTGATTCGTCTCCGTCGCACTACCCCCATTCATCAATTACACTTTAGTCTAAATTTTAACCTAAAGTTGGACACATAATTTTAAATTTCATTATATTTCATTGACTACACTACCGCACTAACTACTTGATCGAGTAACTACAACTAGTACAGTAGAACTTCCCTTTACTTTTTCTTTCTACCTGCAAATTAAAAAGTGCAAATAAATTAAACATAGCCTAATGCTGTGAGTCCAACACACACAATATGTTAGGAAATATGATTATATGAAAAATGACTATATATGTTAGTTGCTATCGCTTGTTCATCATGTGGTGGTCAATTCAAACTTTCACTGTGCTCTGATTCTGTTCTTAACTATTGATTATCACTTGTACATTTAGTGGTCAATGGAGAAATCAAGTCAATGGACATGTTTGTTGAATATTATTGATCTATTTTAACGTGGTCGTTGTAGGCTCGCTTGTAGCTTGGCATCCCATAATTCGATTTGATCTGGCCTAAAAATTAATTACTTTTTGAGCAAAATTTGTGGTGGGTATTTCATCTGTCCCTTTAAATTTGCTTTGAATTCTATTTTAAGTGTCTCTTTTATGTTTGTCCTATTCTATATATGATCACAATGAGCTATCACTTCATATGTAAACATGACATTCTCAACAGTTGATACTATCACTATTTTTTTCTCTTATCAACACAGCATAACACCACAAAATAGAAAATTTAAAAGTTAATGTTAGAATATGTTTTAAATTAGTTAACCTTCTTTTTGAACGGCTATGAATTGAAAAGGGCTTCGCTACACTAGCTAGTTTAGGAGACTATATATACCATTTAGATTTTGGGCAGGGTTTAGCCTAGCTACTATTCTTTTGTCAAGATCAACAAAAACTCACATCTCGTTTGTTCACTAACGACCTAACTGTTAGTGAACCACATAAAATATGTGTTGTTTGTTCGTTGATTTCTATAATCTTTCTTGCATTTGTTATAACAACTATTATAAACATGAATAACTAGTTTAATATAAAAATTTGACGATTTAACATTACCCTATATTTGAATATTTTTATCTTTTGATTGTCCATGGTATTTTTTTTTTGGGGGGGGGGGGTAATTACATACTAATTAGTAGCTAAACTGGATTAGAATTTAAAAGCTTGACTACCCTTTATAATTAACGAAGGGACTTAGGGGCACCCATAGTTTTTATGAATGTTTCAAAATTAATTTATGGAGTTGAAGTAATATTTTATGGTATCAGTAGACTAGTTCCCATTATACATGCCATTAGCCTACTAGCCTTAATAAAATAACAAAGATGTATGAAGAGTTGACCCCAAGTCTCCAACTTGCACTTGTTTCAAAATTTGATGCAACATATAATGACTTCGATTAAAACCTAGGTTTCCTCGTATTTGCCTCTCGGTCGATCGATGGGTGACCGTTATTTTTTGGTTTTTATTACCTAGTTATTAGCAAGTTGTTGTTTGGTTTGACTCCTTATGATTAGGATTAGCTTAGCGTTTTCTTTTCCCCTTAAGCTATGAAAAGGGACGATGTTTTAGTATAATAGAATCCAATATGAACTATGAGCCTCACCAAAGGGCAAATGGCCAACATATAATGCCTTAATTCTTTTTATTTAAGAGAATTAAGGCATTACCTTAGCCAGCAACAAGGTGTCTAGCTATATTCAGGATAATACAATGCACACACATAAGTAGGTGTGAGTGCGTGTGTGTACATGCGTGTGGATGTACCAATGAGGTCCTGAATTAGTTGTTGAGATTAAGGGTATGCCACAAAATTTTATTCCCCATCTTTATCTATAAACTATAATATGTATTGCTAATTGTAATTTGTTCTAATAAAAATAAGTGTACGTGTGAATGCATGTATAAGCATACCCGTGTGCATAGTGTTACAAATATATTGTTATCTTCTTGTACTATCTACATGACAAGCTCATGTGATCATGTTTATAAATTCTAATATTGAATATTGCATTGTGATCACGTTTGTATGTAGTCAAATCTCTCATTTGACAAGGACTGGTGGCCTGGTGCTTGTTACTCGTGAAATTAATCTAAAACCCATATTGAAGGGTAACCATTCTAAACAATACAGGTAATGTCCTACATTGATAAAATATGAGAGAGCTAAACACTTTGTAGTAAGAGGCTATTTTTCCTGCTATTGTTATATGTTTTTGAAATGAAACTTCCTTAAATTTATGAAGTGGACTATCTCATTCAAAGTGTGATAGAGTCATCAACTAAAATACTAATTTGTACTTATTTTTCATTTTTCTCTTGGCAAACAAGTGGGATTTTTAACTAGTGGCAATATCTTAGTGCTCATCATTACATTATGATTCGTTATTGAAGGAGATACTAATCTATTTTTTGTATTAAAACAAGTGAATCTGATTTAGAAATTTAGAAATATAGCATATTGCTCTAGTTGTATGATAGAATAACATAAAAGAAGAAGAAACTGATTGGGAAATAAACCTCGTCTAGTTATACTCTAATAATCGACTAATTTTTCTTGCTTGGAGCTAAAAGTTTTCAACAACAAAGGATCAGTCAAAGTCGTCGTTTGAAGAAATAATTAAATCTGTTTTTGGAATTGGATTCAAACAATTATACGAGTTCTCTTTTTGTACGAAAAGATTGATGATGCT